TATATATATATATATATATATATATATATATATATATATATATATATATATATATATATATATATATATTCGTTCGATACGAGCGAATGAACAACTAGGCTGGGAGCCTAAAAAATATAAACACAGGAGAAAAACAAGAATAACTTTGTTTTTCGTGTCTCGAGCTAGATGATATGACCGGCTTAGTTGTTCATTCGCTCTCATCGAATGCGGTTATTCATTCACGACGTAATATCACACGTACTCAGTCGAAACTTGCGCATACCCGCGCTTCACGATAACGCTTCTCAATCTTTGTATTTTAAAAACGAGTCGTGCTCTCTCGCATCTTATTCTTTGTCTTTTCCCTTTCTTTCTCCAACTACAATTTCAAATTTCTTTTTTAAAAATGTTAGTCGATAAAGAAAAGATAATGCTGTTTCTTTATCGAAAATTTGGAGACCATATTAGATCATACGAAGAAGTAACTGATCTACACATTCAATGCTGCATATCCTGATCGCAATTTTATTTCTAAATCCACCGTTCAGAAAACAGTGATACGTTTTTACGAAACAGAAACAGTTAAAGACCAAAATCCTTTCAAGCCTCATAACTTTAAATATGCCTAATAAAAAAATACTGTGTTATAGGTTTTTGGAAAGCCCTTGAAATAAGTTACAAGAATATGTAATAAAAAGTGGGGAGTCCAATTTAAAAAATTCAATTTGACTTTCGTATGACCTTCGTCCTCCATCCAAAGTCAAATTTTTAGCCATCATTAGGTACATTTTATTAAGCCCTATAAATTTGCTACTTACATATTTTTCGCTACAGTTGATCCTTTTCGAGATATTTGACCGTTTCCAGACTTTTTGCCAACCCTGTATATATATACTATATATATCCTGAATATTCGGACGTTGTGAAAAGTGCGATAAAAGTACGGTGCCATCTCGAAAAATATTAGTGAACTAATTTTTCGCTCTATTTTATCATAGTTGTCGGAAAATCTAACCGCATGTAATCATAAATTTTTCTGCAAACTTTTTTGGCATCGAAACTAAATTCTGAAAGTGTAGTAATGATTTTGAAATTTTCCCGATTGGAGCATCCACAATTTCGATATATACAACCTGCAGAATGTTTATATTACAAATATTACATTGACAGCTCAAAATTTTAATTTAAACATATTGTTTCGTTTTCGTCACATATTGAACAATATTCCAATTATTTTTGCACGCACTTTTGTGTAAAAGCGTTTGTAAAAGCGTGTGCAAGCAACAAGACGTAAACTTTGCAAAAAAAAAGTCAATATTATGTCGATAAAGTTTTCATGTCCGGCATCTCCTTAAATGCTATCACTTACACCATGAAATATGCTCTGAAATATCAGCTATCAAATACGTAGATAGCTATCGTATACATAGATAGCCAACTATATGTGTGTATGTGTGTGGAACTATGCTCCTTAGCCAACATGCGGACATCAATTAGACAAAAATTCGCGAACTTATGGATCAATAATGCTACACTAAACGACTGAACGGGAGAATGACGATATAACGGCAATATCGCCAAAATATTTAATAAAAATATAATTAATAAATACGACATATATCAATAATAGGCGAGTGATATGTTGGTGAGCGCTAAGGCAAAGATTCACTTACATTTTTCAGTAATTTTAATTTGTACACTCTCCGGGTTTCCATTCTCGTTTCCGTTAATATTCCACGCTGCGCGCAATCTATGTGTATTATATTCAACGATATAATAATTCTGAAAATTATGAATCGAATACATATATGGATTCGAAGCCGCGACGGCGGCTTCGAAATATTTAGCTGTCTGTTTTGCGGCAGTGGACGGACGTACGACCGACGCAAATCACCAGATCGTGAAATTAAATCGCACGAATTGTCAGCGGTAACGAAACAAATGTTGAAAATAGCTCATGCAAATCGCGCGCGCTCTTTTCGCGCTCGTCCGGAATGATGAGAACGGCCGATATTTTTCACAATTCCCACCTCTTTCGGGAATGGTACTGCGTGCGTGTACCACGGCGAATAGAAAAATTTGCATAATCGAGTGCGTGGTCAACGCGCCGGAAATGCACGCTTCGATTATTCGCCAACGAAACACGCGTGATCGATGAAAATTTTTTTTCCTTTTCCTAGTTTTGCTGGCAAAAAAATGAAATTTCCTCGTTATAAGCTGGAATACACGATATTGATACCGTGAAAAAGACACGGATCACTATAATTTATGTATAATACCTAACAACGAACGCCGGACGGTAACGCATAAATATCTCAATGTCTGCTTTACCCCAAATATACAACGTAAATAAAATTGCAACGGCACGCTAGTCCGGCATAATTTATGTAATGCGGCTCTGTGCAAGCGCTATTGGTATAAAAGAATGATATGTCGGAAATAATTAAGCTTACTATTCCATAGATTAATATGAGCAATTAGACAGTGAAGAAGAAGATTAAAAATTTGGAAGCAATCGCAAACAAAGTTGCGATATGAAAGCGATTATGAAAGCGATATCACTGCGGTAGATAACCCGCAACAATTACACAATGTCGAGAGTTAATTAGCTACAAAGGGCAACAGCAAATTTCGTTTACAATCGAAGAGCTGTTACTATAAATATATTACACAAGCAAGGATTAGATTCCATCCATTTCCCGCCTTGTTGGCGGCACTCTAAGGGAAGCAATCTTGCCTTAGACGCGGTCGAAGGAAACCCGTTATTTGCATGTTGCGCCCCTGGAGGATTTCCAAGGATAGCCTTCGACCGCTCGAGTAATCAAAAAACGTCCATGCTTTCATGCAACCACTCTCCTACATCCTTTTAACCTAGCACGTCCGGCGTCCGTCCCGCCTTTCCTTTCTTCGAAGAGGTTTCTTTACGGGGGGATCCACGAGGGATCGCTTTTATCTGACCCGCTCCCATCCCAAGGATGCAGCTCGATAGATCTATAGGTATGATCGTGGTCTCACCGCAGGAAATGAAAAGCGACGAATTATATAGGACCATGAAGAGGGTGCAATATCAATATTCTTGGCAGCAGAATAACGACATGGGATGTAATATTTGTCTTGTGCATACTCATATTGTGGAATATACGGGGAATAGAATAAATATAAAATAGAATAAAGATGGTGAAATAAATACAAAGCATTTGTACATATATATATACCGAAAATAAAATCAGGATTGCTAATGATAGAAGCAACTAATAGTATATCTATTTAATATACATAATATATTTTTTTAATTATAAGTAAAGACTTATAACTAAAAGACTTATAATAAAAGACATAAACAAGGAACTTAATAAGAGTGTTCAATAATCATCTTCGAGGTACTTAAATTTTCATTTTTATTTCTATTTTTTAAGTTCTTTATTGCAATTGCATATATTGCAGAATATTTGATATCTTAAAAAGTTCAGAATATCGACACGAAATCGCGCATCAACAAGATTGGTTTCTGTTTCGGATCTCTATGTTTCGTTTGCGAGCTGTGACTACTTCAATAGTTCGGGTTTCAATATTTTGGTCCTCTTCGATATTTCGGATATATTCTCGCGTTATCGGTATCAACAAACACTGACACGTGTGCATCACTCACGCGTTGGCGAGGTCAACGATCGCATTGTCAGCTGACAGCGTTGCAATAGAGGACAATACCGTGTTATGTAACGCAGTTACGCAGTGTCACGCGAACTTGCCTCCACACACGCGTTATCTAACTTAGCAGATGCCGCATACTCCACTTTGCTAGCATGGAATCGATCGCGAGAGCATGGCTCGATATAACCATCGATATCTTCACTTCTAGGAACCGTAGCAGCTGCAGCCAGCAGCAGAAAAAAATCTACTGAAAACCTGAGACTTTTATGCTTCTGTTACGTTTAACTTTAGACGTATTTTTGTCGAAATCTTTGACGAATGTTTGAATTCTGAAATTGCTGGTCTTCCAAGTACTCTCTAAGATATCAGCAATTTCACACGACATATTTCATATACAACTGTAGAAAAACATTTAAAAATAGAAAAACAGAATCTCGAAAACGTTTATAAAGATTTCTTTTTTATTTATGTCGATGAATTCAATTAGCTAATTAATTATTTAAATCAATAAATTAATTCTTTATATACCTGTAATTCTTAAGCATCATGTATATTCTTATATAGTATATTATGAATATACGAAAAGATAGCGAAAGATAGTACTTCTCTCTTCTCTCAACGTAAGCTATACTTTACTTTATGATATTGATCGGCTTATGAAAGAAAATCTGAGCGTTAAAATGTACTTTCAAAATACTATGATATTAATTACGACATCCTCCCGATTTAATTTTCTCTTTTTCTATTATTCTGTTACAGATATTGCAGTTACAAATGAATGACTACAGATATCATTACATGTTTACTACCTTCGTAAGTATTCTTTCCTCATACCTATCTAATAATCAAACCTGTATAATAAAGGATATGTACATCTGAAAATCTTTCGTATTGAGATAAAAAAGAATGGCGGGATTAAAACGTATATGTATTTCTTCTTTTTTTATTAAATACAAAGCTTTATATTCTCGTCTTAAGAATAATTTATTCCAACATCGCGAAATGAATATTTAGTATCGTTTATCAAAAGGAATTCTGCAATATTGAAAACATTATATATATAAAAATAATAATCAATAAGAAATTGCTATTTTATATTAAAAAATATATAATTCCTCTTATTAAAATATCTCTATATATTATATTATATTATATTATATTATATTATATTATATTATAATTTACATGACATAAACAATTTTGTAATTTAGCAGTTGATTCCATCAATTGCATTACTATAAATGTTAAATTAGTATAATAATCCACTAATGAGCCTTAGGCATTATTTAATTTATAGAGATATTACGGAACATTTATCTAGCGTATTAATTTAGTACATTAACGTAGCGAACTGTTAATAGCCCAGCTGATCATCAATAGTTTATACGAATAAATGTGGATTCGCGTTTCACTCGAAACTCGTATAATTTCAAAGGTTATGCAGGACTCTGACAGAAGTAAAAATTCAAATGCTTATAAAATAAATAAATAAAAGGGCTTTGTGCGGAAAGGCCTTGTGAACCGATATAAACAATTTTATAAACATTACTGTAAAACATCAAAGAGAGAATTCTCTCAATATACCATGGTAGCAAATGTTTTAATAGACATATATAATAAAAAATTTATATTCCTAATTTACAACTTTTTACAATTTTTCATATTTTACCTAATTTTTACTCCTGTCAAGGGTCTAGTAACCTCTTAATCTCAGTTGAGAAATAAGAGAGATGCCTCTTTCGGATGGATAGTAGTCTTGTAGACAAGATTTGCTTATATATCGTACATATACTATTCATCATCCTCATAATCAACGTACTTCCCATTTCGGTCGGCCCCTCTTTGTACACTGTGCGGCTTATTATACGTGTTATGTTGCATTAATCCTAGGACACGAGTAGTAGCAGGAATTAGACATCCCACCCCCCTAACGTTAAGGTCGTTGGTATATCGGAAATTTCCCTAATATAGTCCCCTGAAAGTTCATTCCTCTCATTCGGTGTGCGCCTCCTTTGACATATCGTCGCCTTCCGAGCTGCCGCACAGCCCGAATTCCAATCTCCCGTCCCACTCGAGATTTCTATCCTAAATGGAGCTAACGGTGCGCGCAAACCCCGCGGCTAGCATAGCCGAAGTTATGACGTGTAAACGCGAGCTCGCACGACTCGATGCGAGCGTGTACGAAAGGTATGATCGTGAGAGAGAGATGAACGCGCCGCGCATCGTTTCACCATGTACGCCCACTTGCACTGGTGTTTACGTACACGTGTGCGCACGTGGTGGTACATAAACGCACGACATGTCTAACGCATATGTGTCCCTCGAATTTTGCGGCGTAACGATGTCTCGTACGTGGAACCGAACCGCTGCTCGCCTGACGCCGCGCTCGTTTCTACAAATATGTTCAAATTAATTGACGACAGATATTAACCCCACGGCCTCTGTGACGACAGTTGCATCCTTGGCACGATCTATATAACACGTCGGCGCAGTATGGAATTGTCTCTGATCGATCTGGAATTTCGCAACAAAAAGGAGAACGCGTCGATATTATTAGATTGCAGGAGGTTAATGAATACGACCATGATTGCTTAATCCGATGCGGAAAGATCAAATACACGAAGCGTGTAAATAGCGATATAGCCGCATTCAGCAACATTGCGATGCAACATCTCTGGTAATTCGCACGACCATTAATGTATTCCAGCATTTAGATAGTTCGGGTTTGACGTGCGCGAGAGCAACGAAATAATTGTTGCACGGAAATTAATATCGTACGTGTTTATAGTCAGTCAAATATTGACTGTGCTGTACACCGCTAGCTAGACAATATGTAGGAGATGTGATAGAGACAATATCTACAGGACGATATGGTAGCCGGGAGCTACAGAGTTATAGATTGTTCACCTTGCAATCGGTTGCAATCGCTTTATATTATCAGGAACCTAACTAACCGTATGTTACGAATGATATACCTCACATACCGATATTGAATTAATTACTACCGGTCAGATGAGGTTGTATAATTAATTCATCGTAATGTTGCAGTTCTGGCTAATAACGGCCTGTATAGATGCGATAGCAATTCGTAAACGAGTTATTCGAGTGGAACGTAGGTATTAATTAACGCCTCAGGACAACGCGATGATAGTTGGTAGACGTTCTATCAAAATGACAGAGTAACGATGTTTAATCAAAATATAAGGATATGTCATTCCCGCGTACACGATTCGAAACTTGGTTTTTTGTCTGTACTAGCGGCATTTTGTCGATAGCAAGTCATACGATTTGAAGCACATTTCAAGTGGTCTGATAACGAACTCAATGAGAGAACAAATTATGTGCTTTATCACATTTTAGATTTTCCGAAAGATCTCCGGCGCGTGATCTCGCGAAAGAGTTTAATGCATCCCCGCGATGCAAATCTGCATTAGGTACTTTCGGCATTTCGTCTGTGAGAAGCACATCCGCGCATTTCCAAATAAATCACTTTGGAGGATGTTACACAACTTTCTCCCGGCAGTAACGTCGCGGCAATGTCGCGACTCAAGAGGTAGACAGACAAGCTGGAGGGGTTGAGAGTGAAGGAGTTTAAGGGGAAAGGGGTGTAAGTAATAGCGTGAAAGGGACAGAGGAAGAGAAACCGCTCATGAACGGAAACGGAGCTTTATCTGACTGGCCGACTTTGCTATGCAGCTGCGCAGTTGTCGGTGAATGATCCCATAGAAGAGCCACATTTACTTTAACGATCTACGTCAAGTAACGCATCACCGTATAATTATAAATCATATTTTCTTGGGTACCTCTCTCTTTCTAGAAAACTCTAGAAGGTAAAGGTAAAGTGGGAGATCTGACTGGGGTTAGTTACATCGTAACTACAACGATCGTAATTACAACGATAACAGAATCGCTGGGACCGCCTCATTTTTCTTTAATTTAGTCGCCTCTCCCTGTAATCACGCTGCGCGAGTGAAAAGATATTTACTAGTTGCGTTTTCTTAAATATCACCGCGACAGAGACTGCCCTTTTCATTTATAGTTTTGAAATAGATCGATAGTTGTATTTATTTTTATTAAAGTTAAGATCTCACTTGGGAAGAAAGAAATTGTTTCTTATCTCTTTTGTGTATGAAGTACTTAATAATTAATGCTCTTCGTTATTTGCGACATTAAGATTTGACGTTACAAAGAATCTACTACGCAATCAAATTATTTAATGAGAATTATATGGAAGATAAATATATATAAACCATAATTGAATCTAAACCGTTTTTAAAATAAATAGACTTATTTAAACTTTAATAATCTTTGATCCCCTAGGATATAGAAACGTTTGATCTGGAAGATTTCAAATATAACAGCGTGAACATGACAGCTTTTCGCTTGGTGGATCTTGAAGAGCCCAAGGTTGCTGAAGTACTCAGACAGATGGAACGCTTCCAACCAACGATTGGACATGCCATTTTGAATAAAACGGGAGTCATTCAGGTAGGAGAAAATCTTAAGTAATATTCGACGAGACACAAAGTTCAATGCTTCATTACCATTTCGACAACGCGATGTTACATTGCAAAGTTTTTGATAAGATTTGACGCATCAAATTTATTCCGCAAACTTCGTGAAACATATCGAGCGTTAAAGAACGTAATAGGTTTCTCTAATTCTAATTGTTTCATTGAAGACAATTTATCGTATTCTCTTCTGTGTGTAATTTTTCAAATTTTTTGTAATTTGTTTAAATACAAATGTGTATGATGACGAAATAAAAATTAAACAAATTGGTCGCAAAAAATTTTAAATTAAAAAAGTTATTCCAATATGATATATAAAATAACGAATATTTCTCTTTGTTTCATTCAAAGTATCATTTATGGCACAATATTTTTTAGAGTAATATTTCACAATAATAATTAATTTTACGCATGGTTTCAAATCATGATAAAAGCCAAAGCTACGAGCAGATGTAGATGAAAGACTAAAAGCAGAGAGGATTGAAAATTTTGGTGAACGGAACCAGTCAGCACAGTCTGTGTTCAGTTCGAGCTTTGTCAGCCTTTCAGTAATTAAGTGAGTTTCGCCTGCGGCTAGCGCCGCAATGTCATTAACTCGGATCAATTGAGCGCACCAAGGCTTTCTCTCTCTCAAGGACTTGGAAGATAGTCGTCTGCTGAAATAGCAAACTGGACTCTTTCAATCGATGACAATTTTAGTGAATATTATATAATATAAAGCACAATATATTTTTATTTCCTTCGACATATACATTATGTATGTTTTATTATTTATTTATTACTTTTTTATATTTTATGAAAGGCAAATGTCAACGCGTAATCGATTTCACCCGATACTTACTACATTAAAGGCGTTTAATATTCTACTTTAAAGAACTTTGATTGCAAAATGAAACAAGAAACTTTCAACATAACCGATAATAAGAATGAATAATCATTTGGGAGTAAATAACAATTAAATTAGGAACAGCGTTGAAAATAAATTTCATTAAAGTTTAATAACGACTCGACTCAACACTCGTTTACACCAGTGATAATAAAAACTTTGTCAACGTAACGTTTCTGATCATCTAAATTTCTCTGTGCCAAGATACGGGACATAAACTCTCGTCAAGAAGGAAACATATGTTTCAGGCAGAACCAGCCTTAGTGTACGATAGCGTGCAAGTTTTCGTGCACGGCTTAGCAGCTTTGGATCGTAGTTACGATTTAAGACCAGCGAATCTGTCCTGCGAGAAGGAGGAACCGTGGGACGACGGTTTATCACTCTACAAGTATATTAATGCCGTACGTACGTTTTACGAATCCTTACGAGACCCGTGTTGGACGGAAAAGTAATACAAGTTGGTAATAATGCAACTTTTCGTGTATGATTATATTAAATTATAGAGAGGATTAGGACGTTTTAAGAAATTGAAAAGCTACTATAATTAAAAAATTAAAATTTGCCTTACATATACTCACTATATAAACATTTCTTGCACTTTTTAAGATGAAAAAATGACTTGTATTACGTCTCATTCAACATCTAATATTTTTTTTGTTGAGCAAACTATAATTAGCAATTGCTTCTTTTTCATCGAAAACATAAGATAGAAGAATTTTACAATTTTGTGGAGAAATTCAATTTCAACTAATATCACTCAAAAGCACATCACTATTGATAAAATATGGATGGACAAGGCCTGAATTACAATATTTATTTTAAAATATTATATCTGCAATATAATATTTACACTGTTACTCGTATTTCGCGAATATACGTTTATAATCCGCGAACAGAAAAAAAATTTAACCATTATATAAAACATGATGATATAGCTTATTTACGCGTTTCTAGCGTTACGAAAATTTATTTGATACGTGCCAAAATAAATATCTTTTACTCTCTAAGTTTTTACGCTAAGTTATTTGACACATACGAGCGCATTGTCTACTCACGCTATAATTAAATGAAAATATACGTTATATGCAAGTTCCAAATACAGTATTATTTTATGCAAGGGAAATATTTATCTACCTATATTTAGTACAGAGAATGGTAAGATATAAACAGTCTGTAATTCTCCATGATAATTCTTATCGTATATTAATTGTTTAAAAGTAAAGCAACTTGAGGATTTCATTATTCTCGTTTCCTACGTTTTCTTCGGGACTTCTACAAACTTCTAAAATTTTAACATTGTCATTCGTTTGTGGGATATTGGAAACTTAATTTAATGATCCATATCTATACAGAATACTGTGCACTGTGTACTTGAAACATGCGCGAAATAAAACGGGACTTTCATGCACGACAGAACTGTCTTTCTCTCTCTCTCTCTTGCAGTTTAAAAAAATTACTTTGCTTAGCCATGAAAGAGTTTAAACGTACGCAACGGGACGCCGTGCACGAAACTCTCTCGCCACGAGCCCGCGCTGCATGCTGGAATCTGGGAGGTAAAAAATCGCGGCCATCCTGGAGTGAGCGTGCTCCTCATTGCTCTGCACAGATTGGTAGTCGTCCTGCGATAAGCCACAGACACATGGAGATCCACGGAAGGAAAGCAACGTTGACACATGAATAATTGAACAGCGTATTTAGCAAATAGCTACAAGGTCGAGAACCTCAACTTCTCTCGGGCATCTTCTCTCCTTTACCCGTCTCCGAATCGTCGCTCGCGCTTCCCGTTTGCGGCGACCATCTCGAATGCACGAACGGTCACACGAGAAACACGTACGTAAACTCACGCGTACGTGCCACCCATGAATAGATGCCGTCTGGAGCATGAAGTTTTATTACACGCGAGTCGCGTCCAAAATTGAGAGAATTTTCCTATTAAACGCGCCAATGACAAATTAAACGGTGCTTAAACTTTCGAGGAGCGCGATTCTTTCTTTAACTAATAATCGAACTTTTGAACTTTTCCGACGTGTGACGCTGGAAAATTACTTTCAAATATCTACATCGTTATCTGCGCCTATATATGATGTTCCGTATAAACACTATAAACCGTATAAACGTTAACTAAAGTACAAAGTACACAAGACGCCGCGATAGAGCTTTATACGCTGCGGTATATGAGGAATTGCATTAACTATTCCGAACAATACGACAAATTTATTCACATCACCATTATTAATGTAGTATGTACTATTAACGTAGCATAATTGAATCGCCGCCGTGATCACATTTATGCTACAATTCTAACCAAATATACGAGAAATATAAAGTCGTAGCTTACGAAAAAAAAGGAACCGTAGATATTTACGAGTTATTATATGACATACGGTTCGCATAGAATTGCAGATCTAATTCTTTCGCAGAGATTTTCAAATTTTATTTTCTCTCATCTCATAGTATTACTTGACGCAGAGCATCTCGTAAATATTGTACGAATTGTTAGAATTAGCATTAAGTTTTAACGCGAAAAAAGATTATAATAGGAAGCATAACGACATACGTCGTCTCGTGTGTCACGGAAACTTATAAGTTTACACAATGACGGCTTCCTGCAAATTATTCCAACGTCTTTTTCCACGTAGCATTATAAAGTTTCTCTTTTTCCACGACGGCAAAGAAAATTGGAAACGCGCACGACGGCGCGTAGAAAAGTTTAGTCGGGTTGCCAGAATAATCGAGAATGTCGCAAAGTAGAAGAAGAAGAAGAAGAAGGAGGAGGAAGAAGAGGAGATGCCCCGGTGGTGAATCGTGACAATTTTTCAAAACTTACTCGCCGCACAGGCTAGATGCTATTAAAGACCGCTGGTCTCACCAAAGCTTACGCAGCTTAACAAGCGCATCGTGCGCGTGTATACTGTCTAGATTTAGATGTCCAACCACTACAGATAGAACTCATTAGACTAAGTAGAAAAATTGTCGACCATTTTGTAAATTACCACAATATAATTATCGGGATATTAGTAAAAATAAATTGCCTAATCAATGCACATGGCGCGGTAAAACGAGTTCTGCAGAACAGTTTGAAAAAATGTATCTGAAAATGCCTAAAAAAACTTGAATTTGCTTGCTTCCTGATCTCTTAGCAACAGCAAATATAGACGTGTAGAAAAATCACACGGAAAGCAAAACTATGATACTCGCTGCTTACATTGTTATTCCATCTTTCGCTGCCATCCGATTTTTACCATTGCTAAGAAAAGCCAATAAGCCCAGAACATGTCCATTCAGAATGTGTGTAAAACTCGTGTCATCGCGTCGCGCGCATTAATTGGCTTACTTTTTCTAATTAAGATTTGAAAAATTACCGTGACGATTTACAAAATAGATAATAGTAGATGACTTTTCTATTCAATTTAACGAGTTTGATCGGCACACGTGCGTTCGGACATCTAAATCCACAGACACTCTGTACATGTATTGATGGTATTCAAATCGGAACGACATTCCTTGAATATTCGATTCGCCAGACAAATCTTTCTTATTATCCCGATACGCCGCGTTCCGCTTGAGGAATTCCGCATCAGTGGAATATTATTATCAAGTGACTGAAAAATATCTATCATATCAAGTGAAAAGAGAAGAAGAGCTTCATCGTAGAAATTATAAAAGGTCTCGATAAATTCCATCACCATATTCCTTTCGCGTAGCGAAAAATCCATCCGTTTATGAATATCAGCTTTCGTCTCACGGTTACAATACTCTTTTCGAGGCGTCGCTGCACTCAGTGTACCGGTTTTATCGACGTTTCCTTCATGTTAAATCCGAAATAAACAGCGTGCCGCGAAAAGATATACCAAGAATATATCGCAGTTGCGCCCCTCGTACACGCTTAACCCCGTACGACAGGAAACTGGCAGCTTCCGACGTGACCGTATCCCATTAACGGTATAATCGCTGTTTTTCTACCGTTTCTGGAATTATAGGACCATAAATAAATCGGCATACCGCTGAATTACTAATGTGTTTCCCGTTAATACCACTTAGTTCACAATCAGCTTGACATTTTAAGCCAATATCACACATTCGAAAGTATTCGAACCTATTCAGAAGTATTTAAAATAACCAAAAACCGTCGATAGTATTGCCATCATCGCTGTGAGGTTATAGCGATTTTATTGCGAAAAAATTAATTGTATCGTCGATTTAAAAGTCCTTTGTCATCCGACAGTTATTCCCTCGAGTAGTAAATATCGTTGTATATCATTGCAAGATGACAATGTCGTCCTTTTTGAAGTGCTAATATACAAAACATTATATACGTCATAATTTTTACAAACTTTGCGTATTTAGGCTATTACGCTTGAGAACTTTCACAAATCTTACACCGCTTAAGCAACCCGAACCGAGTGCTAAAAGCTTGCTGCAAAAGCAGCAAGATTAATGCACCCCGTCAAGTATAGGCGGTTTTTGCGGCTTTAGCCTATCTGGGTACACTTCGGTGCTTCGAAGGTGCGAAAATACACGCGTGAGACATGGAGAGAAATCCGGCAAAGCAGATACGTGTGAATAAGAAATAACCAACCGACCCGAAGTAAGGGGAATGATTAATGAATTATCGTAAAATATGTAAATTATATAACACGTGTTTGATACGTTAAAACGCATACGTTAAAATGCGCACATAAATATTTTAACACAAACAATTTATACTTTGAGAGGAACAAACTCTCTACAGGAGTTCTCTCCTTTTCCGTTACGATAAAATATTACCGTGGTGATTTCAAATAATAATGTTTGACGATATAAAATAATTTATTATATTTTAATTTTAATTATATGTTTAGTCTAACAAGTAATATTTGAATAAAGGAGTAAACCGTAATATGTTTCATTAATGTATATGTTAGCATTTAATGTTTATCGAAAATTATTTAATCTTGATATGTAAATTATATGCTTCAAATATTGAAATAACATTAGTTATAAACTTCATAACGCTTACTTTAAATATTTATATACATTTTAAATAGATTCGAATGTGAGTTACCAGATTACTATTTCAATAATCTCAATTTACTATTTCAATAATCTAATGAATTTTTAGTATGGTCAAATTAGTATGGTCAAATCGACGACCTTTAATATTATTCGCGAATGAAACCGAAGTAGAAATCGCTTACCTCACCATAACGACGACAACTATATTTTACTTCCGATATGCTTTCAGTAATAGCCGTGAGTAAGCATACAAACAACGCAGCGACGGCATCTCTGTTACCAAATGCTCGCAAATGGATTTAGATATGAAGGGAAATATAATTTACTCTACCGCGTATTTACGTATTACAAATATGCATGAGAGATTGAAAGTATAAGTCAATATTTCTGAACTGTAAATTCAATTATTACTATTTCGCACGATAAAAAGCAACAACAAATAAATTCGCGCGCGCGTCATTATTAATGATAATTTTTTGTCATTTTACCCTCTCTCTCCCCTTTTTTGTAATCCTTTTTTAGATAATATATAATTTTTTAGTAAAACAGAGAGAGTTGTCGTTTCAAGTCCGTTTATCGTAAACAAAACATTGACGTTTTTCGCGGATAAAGCATTTTTCCGTTCGTATTGTTATTCTCCACTCTCTAATAATATCGTCCGAAGAATATTGACTATGAAAGCAAATAAAAATACAAAAATATATCACACCAAGCAATCCGGATAATATCAATATTTCGCTTCGATCCTTAATGGACCCTGATTCCGGTTAGTATCAATTCATTTGGTTGGGAATTTTTTTTCCAGAGAACCCTGAACCCATATTTCGCAACACGGCTTCCGCGAAATATTCCGAACTCTGAATTTCACCGTATAAAAATGCGTGTGCCTGCACAATAGTACAAGAGTGCTGCGCTAGCACACGCACAGACTATAATTAACGGGCATATTCGCGTCGGACGAAAGTACGTCGAATAGTGAAAATACACGCAGTCCCGTGCACCGCCGGGTCACTTCCGACGCGCATTTGTTTCGCGAGCACGGATGTATTTTTGATGCCAGCTAGTTCATCGACGTCGACGAGCTGCTGACGAGATATCGCGGTAGGGATTTATCGATCCACGTTGCCAACGATCTCGCCTACCTACGCTGACGCGCCGAAAAATCCAGGCCGCGGAATCGTCGCTAAAACTCTCGCCAGCTGCTGGCTTGACGAGAGACGATTGCCGTGAGCTCGCGAAATAATTTGACAACACGTCGTCATTTCGTAGAATTGCGATAATAAATACACGCTAAATATAACAGCGCGATACACGGGCGATGTAGTGAAGAACGTCGTATCTACGCGCACGTTTGCTTTCGTAAAACTTGCTAACAAACGCGCCATACCTATGAATTCACGAAAATTCGTGGTGAAATATTCAAGGATTTTACATCTCGGTTAAAACACGTCCATCAATCAATGCAGTAACTTTTGAAAGTTAAAACGATTTTTCCAACTATTTTTTATAGCACTTTTAAAAGATTGGAGAGAATAAAACGTTATATTTGATAGAGGACTATAGCTTGAGATTCTTAAGAAAAAAGGAGTCTTTTTCAACACGATGCAAAACAGATATTATTCAAATAATATGTTTATATATCTCATTCTGTGCATTACAAAAGAAAACGATGAATTCAATTAAGATAACAGACGACGTATAGTTCTTCTTGAGATGGTTTCTTTAAAAAACAAGACTATCGTGTGGTAAATAGCAGACATATATCTTTTATGAAATCAACTAATCTGCAGGACTTTAACCATAGATAATAGGCTCTGTCTCTCTGATGTATGTCAGTTGTTTCGAGAAAAATTAGAAGTTTATAAATGAAACAATTGAATTGTTTCCGTCTGGATTAATCTCTATTCTCGCTACACGATGGATTAAGCAATATGCGAACGAAATACCCGTGCAAAAATCCATACAGACTGATCAAGGTTCTCAACGCGAATGCAATATCATTGTTTTATAGCTCTTGCAGTAAACCCTCTCGCTTTTGCACATTTTGTACAGCCATCATCGAAATGGATCCGGATTACGAGAGGAACATAGCACGACACGTACTTGAAAAGTGATACGACCAGACATATATCAGGCAATGGTTATAGAATCCAAATAATTCAAGCATGAGAAGCGAGTGAATAAAGACGCTTCGTTGCATCTTAAGCTTGCCGACTATTTATCTCTCGATAACCAAGATAGTCATAAAATTACATCGAAAAACAGACATCCCTTTGCGGCATACTCCAATTTCGAGTAAACACACCCCTGCAGGAAGCAGAATGTGTGTTACAGCTTTCGAAAATAGTTGAAAACTTCTTTCGCGATGGAATAGTTAAGCGACCGAGGTTTGCGGGAAAAATATTTATCTCTACGCGAACTCGGGGAATATCTACAGTTATATTTGTTTCATCCGGCAATGGAGGTAAGTGGTCAACTTTAGAAAGAAGTGCATTTCTGGTTGAATAGTAACCCCGGCAACAACATACAGGATATACAGTAAAATAAAAAAGAGAGAGGAAGAGAGAGAGAAAGAGAGATAAATCAAATAAACTGCGCGCAGATCGCTGGTAGACCACAAATGGTAATTAATGCGAAAAATTTCGCCGCGCGCATGCATCCGGAAATGTAGGCCGTCGGCGATGAATCGTGCGGATGTGTGCATGTCCGTGAACTATCACGACACAGAGGAAAAATAAATTTAACGAGCATCAGACGCACGCGTGATTTAACGAACGATGAGTCTGGCCATCATCAAATAACTACGATTATAATTACTGCCTATGTGAAAAAAATGTTATCGTGTATTTGATTATATCTCATTTAAATGTCGCATTTCATTTAGCATTATTGTGTTTAGACAAAATATTTATTTTATGCGATACACTTTCATTTTATTGCTTCGAGATATTATCGTTATTATTATCGGCCAAAGACCTTTATGTTGATATAAAAACGCAATTCAGACATCATGTATATATTCTGTCACGTCTTAGTTGATTTTAAAACGTGTTAATTGTCCTTTTTGGG